AGCCAGGATGGTCTTGATCTCCTGACCTTGTGATCCACCCGCCTTGGCCTCCCAAAGTGCTGGGATTACAAGCGTGAGCCACCATACCCGGCCGACTGGCTTATTTTTTAAGCTCTCATAAGATTTTTCTCATGAGAGACCTCTGTCTACTACGAGGATCTGTTTTCTGTATTATCTTCACACCCCACCCCATTCTCTCCATAAAAACATTCCACAATATCATGTTATAGAAAATAAATTAGGAAAAAACCCCAGGTTCTAATTTCAGTCCTTTTACTTACCAAATATGTGACTTTCACCAAATCATTTAACTCACCTCTGAGTTAGTTTTTTTATCTGCAAAATAGTGATATGCCCTAAGACACATAATTACTTAAGAGGTTGAAGATCAAATGCAATAATGCAGATGAATAGGCATTGAAACTGTAGTTCTATAATATAATACAGAAGGTATTAACCATTCAACAAAGAGATAGAATAGAAGATAAGGGAATCTGAATTCAAACTGCCAGAGCAGGAATCCTGGGTCAATCATCTACTAGCTATACCTTTTAACATGTAAAATGAGGATTACAGCATCTATTTCATATGACATTAGCTTAATGATGTTGGCTACTATTGCTGTTACTAAATGCCTACTATGTGTTAGTCATTCTACTAGATACTGGTAATAAAATGGAATTAAGACTGACAGGGCTAACATCTTCGCCAAAACCTCTATCTCCTACTCCATCTACTACATTTTCTAAGTCATTTATGTCATATATTCTTTACAGCAAAGAAAAATCTGAGTAGTAAAGCATTTCCACAGAACATCAAGGTAAGAGTCCAGAATTCCACTATTTCTTTTCTATAATAATTTCCAGTGAACACTATAGTGATTCTAGTATTTCTTTTCTTAATCCATCCCTTCAGTTGAAACTTTCCTGATAATTTCTGGGTAAACTATCTGGGATGTTTCTATCAAATGTAAATAATCCAAGGTAGTATTTCTCAAAATAACACCTAAAGACCATCTGCTTCCCAATCACCTAAAATGCTAATTAAAAGGCAGATTCCTAGGCCCTCTTTCAGATCTGTTGATTCCAAAGCTCTGGCTAGAAGATGGGAGAGTCTGCATTTCTAATAAGTCTCTGTGTGATTTTTATGAAAACCCGATGTGAGAACCATGTTCCCAAGAGGAAAAAACTTCCACTACCTAAGAAGTTTATAAGACCGGGCGTGGTGGCTCACGCCTGTAATCCCAGCACTTTGGGAGGCCGAGGCGGGCGGATCACGAGGTCAGGAGATCGAGACCATCCTGGCTAACATGGTGAAACCCCTTCTCTACTAAAAATACAAAAACATTAGCCGGGAGTGGTGGTGGGCACCTGTAGTCCCAGCTACTCCGGAGGCTGAGGCAGGAGAATGGTGTGAACCCAGGAGGTGGAGCTTGCAGTGAGCTGAGATGGCATCACTGCACTCCAGCCTGGGCGACAGAGCGAGACTCCGTCTCAGAAAAAAAAAAAAAAAGAAAAGTTTATAACCAAAGGAAATTCTGCGCAATAATGATCCAAAACTTCATGAAGGAGAAAAATTTTAATCCTCAGAATACATTTTCGCATGCCTCTGTTAATAGGGTGGAGACAACAACTCATGGAGATTGAGAACAAAAGTGACTTGAATATATGCACCCTAACTCTGTGTGTTCAATAAATTCCTACTCTAGAGGCCAAGAGAACGGGTGGAAATGGGGATACACTGCAAATGCTTACTTAAATTTCAGAAGAAGCAAATAAAACGTATCGCAATAGTCAGATCTGTTAAAACTGAAGTTTCATGATCTCAGAAAATGGAACCACTTTCTCTTAAACTCAGCCAAGTCATGACAGACCTCTCCGCTCCAACTCTCCATGCCTACCACAAACCTTGGCTAATCTCCCAAATGTAAACCTTGCCTACCGGATCCTGTGACCATTAGAACAATCAGAGGCAAGGAGATACACGGTCTTTTCATTAAAGTAAACTGAAATAACTAATTAAAATTTACATTTGTGCCTCTTGGTCAAATAAACAGTTATAGAAGAGCTCTCACTGAGATGTGGAAGAGAATCAAGCAGCTCTGAACTTTTCAAATAATAACAACTGTTATTTCCAAATAACAATTTCCAAATAACAAGCTGATGAACAAAATATTTCTTTACCCACCAAGCCACAGTAGCCTGAGACACTCTCTGGTTCAGATAATAAAATAAATGCCTTAGAGAGCTTTCGTTTCTAAGATGCTGGTGAGTTTAGCACTGTGACTGCAAGAAATCGGGAACCTACGACAAAAAGACGCCCAGCCTGCCCACACTAACCGTCCAGAACTAGGTCTGGAGCAGCAAAGCGGGCGGGGCCGCGATTTCTCCCGCATCGCTGCGCCCGTTCTTCTCCGCCTGCGTGAGCACCGCCCACCCACTCGCGGTGTGAACATACTGGGTCTCGCCTCTCCTTTCCCCTCCCCTCGGCCTGGTGCTGAATCATGAGCCCAATGTCTCCAAAAGGTAAAATCAAAGAACAAAGCCACCCTTGGGGCTGGTCTGAATGGGGTACCGCGTCGGGGTGGGGCAGAAGGCTGGAAACCACAACTTTGCTCCCCTTCTTCCCCAATTTCTCCACCTACCCCCCAAATTAAGAGGAGTACTGCAGTGCTCAGGAATTCTCAAGAGGGTGGCCCTTCTCCCCGTTGCTCGGGTCTGCTACGGTCCGTCGGGAACCCCGCGCGCTCCGCCTCATTGTTCCAGCGCGCCGCCCGCCGCCGGGAGCCCGCGCCCTGCAGGGCCAGCGAGTTGGCGGCTCCCGGGGAGGGGGTTGGGGCTTGGCCTGCTCTAGATCCCCGACCCATCGCCCCTCTGGGGCCGAGTAACAACAGCCCCCTGCCCACCCCCATAGCCTTCCTCCCAACTGATCGCTAAGGCAGAACCACAAGTCCCCGGAGGCGCCTGGTGGGTGCTGTCCAAATGCTGGGAGGAGGCGGCAGGGGGGTGGGGAAGAAGGAGCTGGAGGCCCGGCCTGCGCGAAGCTGCAGCCCTCGCCCCTACAGCGCGATTCGGTGACGCGGGTACCGCTCGGCCATGGTTCCTCCGCCCAAACAGGGAGCAGCTCGTCTACGGCCCGTCTCCCAGCCGTGGACGCAGGCACCGAGCAGTCCTTGGCCCTCCCTGTCTCCAGAAGCAGAAAGCGGAGGGCCAGACCCCGTGCTGGCTGCATAAGTTCTCATTTGCTACTCACCCCAACTGTTTCTGTCCCTGCGGTTCTTGGCCATGGTGGTCCAGGACCTGGTGGCGGTGAGGCGCTGTCACTGCGCTCGCTGCCTTCTCCGGGGCCGCAGGTTGCTGGCGGTGGGAGGCTCCGTGCCCGCGCTGGGCGCAGTTCGCTCAGACTCTGAGGATGTTGCTGTGGCGCTGGTGGGAAGGAGTGGGGAGGAAAAGGGAGGAGAAAGCAGATGAACCAAGCTCAGCATCACAAGCCCGAGTTCACACAAATACCAGCGTCACACCCTCCCTACCTCAGCCCACCCCCAGAGCGTGAAGACAGTGATAGACCATGTACTGCAACATTTTCAACGGAAAACGCACACAAATAAACAGCACCCCCTCGCACCCACTCTCAAAGAATTTAACAGCATTATCAGAAATACACAAACCGATATACTGCATGATTCTGGATATTCAAATACCTGTTTCAAGCACGGTTATACATTAGCACAAACAAGCTGGCAACATTCGTATAGCCAAAGTAGCTAAAATAATGTGCATTTATCTACCAGGCACCCATTTTTTTTTCCATTTTAAAAGCAAGGTCATGTTAGTAAAGAGGGTATTATGCATTTTTGTATATGTATACTGAGTAGTTTGTCTTAAAATTAGAATAGCAAAATTTATATCAAGAAGATCAAGATAAATGAAAGCTGTAGATTCATTGTAATCTGTAAGTCAATATCCACTGGGTAAAATTTCCCACTAGATTTGCAAAGATAAGGTCCAGACTGATAGTCCAATAGCAATTATTTGAGCTGAAATCATACTACATAGTCTGGGTGGGCCCTGGCAGCCATAAAGGTTGCAGACAATTTTGAAGGGAAAAGAAAAAAAATAAAAAATATTTTCAATCTTTCCCTTTTCACTGCTTTCTTTCTCTCTGCTACAAACTTAGTTGTTTTCAGTAACCTGGAAACACTCTCCCTTTATACTACCTCAACCGTAAGATACCATCATCCCGTCCCTTACAGTTTCCTCCTGCCATTTGGTTGTTACCCACACTCTCTACTGATCGGTTCTTAGGAGATCACTGCCAGCCTCGTAATTACCAGATCCACGATCTCTGCTAATTCCTAATCGTAAGCAACTCCTCACGCTACACTCTCTCAATGTAATTTACTTTGATGGCTTCAGACAGGACCTCCATGCGGATGACTCCCAAATCTATACTTCTAGTCTTCTGCCCTCTAGAAGAGAGGACATCATACCAGAGGTGTGTTTATAACTGCCTAAGGTTATCCTCACATTGTTTTCCTCCGGACATTTCAACATCAACATATCTGAAAATAAACTCCCCCATCACTGCCAAATCTTATGCATTATATTTCAGTTACTGGTTCTAGTGACCGCAGAGCTGTGAACACCGTAATCGAGTTTACACCATGGTTTTAAAGAGGTCTGTGCTCAACAGAGTTGAAATCACATTAATGAAACAACACGGGAAGACATTATCTCATCCCTGTACCTATAAACCAAGTTCATAGAACAAAAAAGAAGTGTGGTCTGCTTTTCTTCTTATATTCCTTTACTATCATTCTCAGCTTATATTCCAGCCTGAAAATCCCTTTCATATGAATCCCACTTTTCAGAGTACAATAGATTACACACACAAAAAGGAAAAATTTATACAATGCAACACCTATGCCTAATTGAAAAAGAAATTAATTTTTTAAGAAACTGTTGCCTTTATAATTAGTAAGTAATCTGCAGGTGAATACTTCGAGACTGTGTGAATCACACACACAAAAAAATGCTTAAATAAATAGCTCTCTGTATAAGACTTTTTGTACTGTTGGCCAATAACTTTTCATCCATTGATTTTAGCATTCATTGATCCTTGCCTGAATCAATTTCATTTTAGTGATTTTTAAATGGAGACTTTAAAATAATTGTATTTTGTTTGTTTGTTTGTTTGTTTGTTTTCCAGACAGAGTCTCCCTCTGTCGCCCAGGCTGGAGTGCAGTGGCGTGACCTCAGCTCACTATAACCTCCGCCTCCCAGGTTCAAGCGACTCTCATGCCTCAGCCTCTCAAGTAGCTGGGATTACTGGCTGTCGCCAGCACACCTGGCTGTTTTTGTATGTAGAGACGGGGTTTCTCCACGTTGCCCAGGCTGGTCTCAAACTCATGAGCTCAAGCGATCTGCCCACCTCAGCCTCTCGATGTCATGTCTTTTAAATTAAGTAGCTGGCATTCCCTCTCCAACCTTTTCTATGTTAAGTCGCACTATAAATTAGTGGAAACTTTTTTTTAAAATTGTGTTATGCATCACCATTCTTTTTAATGCTTAAATTGCCCTAAATTTGGCCGAGGGTCAGCTCATGTGTCCTTTTAACATTGTCCCTTTTTGTCTTTGAGCAGTTCCCTGTATTCTGGTACAAAAAAATGTTTCAGGAGTCCTTTTTATTTTCCCTTAGAACTAAAATAGCCATTTCTCCAAGATGCTCTGACTCCCAAAGATGTTTAGAAACCAAGACGTGGGTGCTAGTTGCGCTCATTGCTGGCTGAAGTATCACTGTTTCTAGACCCTTTCAGTGGATATTGCTAGAACACATTTTTTAAATCATAAGTTTAATCTACTCTGAAGAAATATCTTCAATACTATGAAAATATAAACATATGTGGTTATTTATTACAGTACTTTTTGTTATTGTAAAATGCTGGAAACAACCTAAATGCCCATCTATAGATGAGTAGTTGAATACATTATAATACATATATGCAATAAAATGTTACATAGGTGTGAAAAAGAATATAGAAGATCTTTATAAGCTAATACAGAGTGATTTCCAGAATACAATGTTAAATGAGAAGGAAAAAGTGCAAATAGTACACCAGTCCTGGAAAGAGAAAAGGATATGAAACAAAGTATCCATTCATCTGTGAAAAATAACTACAGCAAGAATAAACCAGAAACCAATGAGATTGGTCACCTGTGGGAGATGGGTGGGAATAGAGTAGAAATAATGGAAGAATGGTAAGAGGTTAGTAGGGACTAGGGGGACTGATATTTCTCTAAGTGTAATGCTTTTATATAACTCTGAGTCTTAGAACAGTAATGTTTCACTTGCTCCAGAATAAGTTTAAAAATGCTTACCATGATGACTATAATCAAAAAGATAATAACAAGTGTTGGTGAGGATGTGGAGAAATTGGCACCCTCATAAACTGCTGATGGAAACATAAATGGTGCAGCCACTTTGGGAAAAAGTCTGGCAGTTCCTCAAAAAGTTAAACATAGAATTACCATATACATTAGCACTCCCAGATATATACTCTAAAGAAATTACAATATATGTTCACAAAAAAACTTGTACAGGAATATCCATAGCAGCATTATTCATAATAGCCAAAAGGTGGAAACAATCCCAGTGCCAAATAACTACTGAATGAATAAACAAAAAGTAGTATGTCCATATACTAGAACATTATTTGGTCATAAAAAGTTACTGAGTACCAATATATGCTACAACATGGATGGACCTTGAAAACATTATAGTAAATGAAAGTAGCCAGCCACAAAGACCACATATTATATGATTCCATTTACATGAAATTTATAGAATAGGTAAATCTAAAGAGGCAGAAAGTACATTAATTGTTTCTTAGGGATGGAGGAAAGGAGTGGGAGGTTGGGGAGAAATTGGAGAGTGACTGCTAATGAGTATGAGGTTTCTTTGGGGGGCAATGAAAATGTTTTAGAATTCATCATGAAATCAACTTTGCACAACTCTTTGGGTATACTAAAAGCCACTGGATTAGGCTGAGTGCAGTGACTCATGCCTGTAATCCCAGCACGTTGGGAAGCTGAGGTGGGAGGATCACTTGAGGCCAGGAGTTCGAGACCAGCCTGTATAACATAGAAAGACCCCATCTCTATTAAAAAACAAAAAAGAAGAAGAAGAAAAACTAGCCACGTGCGGTGATGAGCACCTGTAGTCCCAGCTACTCAAGAGGCTGAGGTGGGAGGATCCCTCCAGCCTAGGAGTTCAAGGATTCAGGCCACTGCACTTTAGCCTAGATGACAGAGCAAGACTCTGTCTCAAAAAATGAAACAAAACAAAAAACTCCACTGAATTGTAAAATCTAAGCTGGTGAATTGTCTGGTATGTGAATTATGTCTCAATACAAATGTTTTTTAAAAGTCAAAGGTCAAGTTCATTTTAAATCAGAATAAAAGAAGAAAAGGTATTACTCCATTTGAACTTTAGTACTTTAAATCCTCTCTCTTCTTGACTCTTCTGGGATGTTACTCCACAAACTATTCTCTTCCCCCTGTATCCTCAATTCTTTTTTGGTTCTTTCACCATGCTCATTTTCCTCCATCATAAGTAAAGGGGTCCCTCAATCAGAAGTTTCTCAATAGTTGATGGTTCAGTTTGCTCCTTCCCTCTATAAATAGCAATCTTAGAAAAATATTTATGTCAATTAGAATACTTTTGGTGGTAACTCAAAATGGCTTAACCAAAAAATGACATTTACATTCACACAACAATTTGTTTAAAGATAGATTGGTTCTATGGTGGTCAATTCATCAGTTCAGTGGTATCACGGACTATACTAGTTAGGATATAGCTTTGGCTGCTATAAAAATTACAATGGCTAAAATAAGACAAATATTTATTTTGGTCTTATGAAAATAACCTGAGCATAAGTCATCCAGGGATAATACTGTGGCTTTAAAATATGAAGGAACTGGCCGGCCATGGTGGCTCACACCTGTAATCCCAGCACTTTGGGAGGCCAAGGTGGGCAGATTGCCTGAGCTCAGGAGTTCGAGACCAGCCTGGGCAACACGGTGAAACCCCGTCTCTACTAAAAAATACAAAAAAAAATTAGCCAGGCTGGGCGGCGTGCACCTGTAGTCCCAGCTATTCAGGAGACTGAGGCAGGAGAATTGCTTGAACCCAGGAGGTGGAGGTTACAGTGAGCCGAGATCACACCACTGCACTTCAGCCTGAGCGAGACTCCATCTCAAACAAAAC